GAAGGAAACTTACGCGACAGAGTGGCCTGCACCTGCAGGAGAAACGCCCTGCAGCAGCAGATCAGCAGAAATCGGGGCAAACCGGAGAAGATATAATGTTTCTAATCTCTAAACACTCTAAAAGAGCGATTTCAGCTCTCTGCCTCATCTGCTCTTTGCCACCTGCAAGTGCTCTCGGCCACACCCACTTCTCCGCTTTGCCCCGAGAACAGCTGATCAGCTGCAGCAGGAAGTTTATCCTGCAGTGTGGGCTGCACAAAGGCGCAGGAGGTGCTAAATAATTTATTTTAAATAAAAATGTCATGCCGATCGTGCGGCTCATCCATCAATCAGCCAACTGTGTGTCATGTCCAATTTTATTTTGAAAAACTGCGATAGAGCGAGTCCGCGAAAAACGAACCGCGAAGTAGCGAGGGACTACTGTAATACCATTTTAGAATTGATAGATACACTGACACTAAAGAAAAAAAAAACAAAAAAACATGTTAAATAATATTTTAAAACATCCACAAGGAAACCACAAAAGGATTTAAAATAAAAACGCCCAGAAAGATAAAACCAAAGACATGAAGAGGTTGATAAGTGTTAAACTACCGACATGTAAAGTTACTAAAGAGACTCGGGGGACGAGATGGTCTAGAAGTAGGACAGCCGACTCGAGACCAGAAAGTTGCGGCTCGACTCCCAGCCATTCCCAAATGTTGTGGTGTCCATGAGCAAGACACCTAATCCCTAATTGCTCCCCGGGCGTTCACACAGCTGCCCACTGCTCCACCTGGGTGTATCTCAGGTGTGATGGGTTAAATGCAGAGAACCAATTTCATGATGACAACATCTAGCACTTCAGTTTTGTCCTGACAAAACCGAAGTGCTAATTAAAGAGCAACTCAAATTTCTAAAGTCTCACCTTCGAAATTGCAGCGTGACCCAAAATGTCGTCTGGAGACGTGGGCTCCTCAATCCAAAGAGGTTTGACCTCAGCCAGTCTGGACACCCAGCTGATGGCCTCACCTACATCCCACCGCTGGTTGGCATCGATCATCTAAACACAAAAACACTTCTCCATAACACGATTAAACACATTGAAAGGACTAGTGGTGAAGACAACCATACCAAGATGTTACTGGGTCCAATCATTTGTCTAATGAGACGACATCTGCGCATATCATCATCTAGGTCAGCACCAACTTTCACCTTGAACTTTGTCCAGCCGTCCTGAAGTGCATCTGTACAAAGCTTAAGAAAACACATGGAGTTCATTAAAAACGGACCAATCTGATGCTGATGCTGTGTGATGTGTTTTCCAGTCCAGAGACCTCTTTGAGCTGCTGGTCTGAGTATCCAAGCCAAGCACAAGAAGTGGTGTATGCAGGATAACCCTCCTTCAACATCCGATCCTCTGACAGGTGAGAAAAGAACCCATAAATAATAAAAACTTGAGAAAATGTGCTTTATTAGAGCTTACTGGGGGGTATTTGTGCTGGCTAAACGCCCCCAAGTTAGCTTCTAAAGAGGCTATTAATTCAACACAATTTCATTTGGTCAGAAAATGAATTCAGAGTGCTCACCTCTCTGCTGTTTGTCTTCTTGTGCTTTCACAAGTATATCTGAATAAGCAAAAGAAGCAAATGAAGCCTGCAGGTTTGATAATACCTCTTTCAGAAACGGTTTATTTTCTTTATTTTTACTTAAGCCATGAGCAAGTCTCACCCAGAGCTTCCTCCTCTGTGAGGACATCAGTGATGTATCTGAAGTCAATGCATGACACAATCAGCTTTGGATCCTGAATTGACACACGAGACAAAGATATTTCCCTCCTGGCCACATCCAGGACATAAATCAGTGGTGCCATTTATTTATGACTCACCATGTCGACAAGCAGCTTCCACAGCGGCTGCAGGAACACGGTGACAACAGGGCGTGAGTCACGAGGTGAGTTTGTTAGAGAAACAGCCATTTACTGACATTACTCTAAAAGTAAAGGGCCCACCTTGCTCTCCGCCCGAGCCCACAGGTCCCACACGGCATTCAACACTGCAGCAGTAGCCAGGTGGATCACACCTTTCTCTGGACCCAACTGATAACACATTTCTTTTACTCGTTCAGCATTACATGACTGTTTTAGACTGCTATATTTTGTTTGTATGGCACATTTTGCTATGGCATGCAGCTGAGATGCACTTTGGCTGCAAACACAACAGAGAAGCCTGGATTCAAGACCTCAAACTTGTGTGTTTTGATCGTTTGGTCTAAGAGCAGAGAGCTTCTGGGTTCTAGCAACAGAAAATCAATATAAGAATCAAGAGGTCCAGAAAAATGGATTTGAAGAAGTAATGGTTTTCTACAGCAGACAGTTGACATGTTACTCTCAGCAAAAAGGATAATGTGATGGCTCTTGGAACAAAAATGTACAAAATGTTTAAACTTGCCCACCTTTAGCTGTTTCCCACATGGATGGAAAGGTTGTTTGGTAAAGGCAGCACTGAGTCCAAAACTAACTTTCTAGTTTTCTAACTACTTTCAAATTCATAATAAAAAAAACCTGCACTGACGTTTACATTTTTAATGCAAAAAAAGCCTCTTTTTTTTTTCTTTCCAGCTTCTCATTTCTTCAGGGGTCACCACAGCAAATTAAGTCGCACAAAGACTTGACAATTGTTTTTATGCTGGATGTCCTTCCTGACACAACCACAGACCATCGAGCTACCACAGCCCTCTGTGTGGAGCAGAGAGCTGCTACCTATGGCACCTGGGTGAGCGGATGGCGGGGACTGAGGGCCTTGCTCAAGGGCCCGGAGTGGAGCAAATGAGTGTGGAGACAGGTATGGGTGTTTCACACCCACATTTTCATGTTGTCGGTCCAGGGAGTTGAATCGGCAACATTCCGATCACAGGCCCACCTTTTCTAACCTCTGCGCCACCACTCCCCTAATTTTATAATGGCAAAAAAGACAATTCTGCATACATATTGATTCATCCAATAATATATATATATAGTTCTAATATTTTTTGTTAGTTATATGAGCTTGAAACATGAAGCCCAAATGTTATTTAAAACCAAATGAATTGCCTCTGGTTTGTCCAATACCTTTAGTTAAAAATGTATTTCTGGGTATCTGCTCTTACCCATCTCATCTGGCCATCACTGGTAAGCAGGCGGTAAAATCCTCGAAAGTTGTTCACAATCGCCTGCAAAGATTTCCCAACAACCAGTCCTTCCAGGGCTTGGATGGCGCACACCACTGCACGATTCCAAACAACAAAAACAGCCTTTAAGGAGAATAAAAGCTTCCAAAGAGCCCTAGACTTTCATCAATACCAGTAACCACCAGGGGTGTGTTATTTAAACTATTGTATTAGACTGTTTTAGTTTAGATATAGAAATTAAAGTAACTTGCAAAGTGAATTTAAATTTTGGGATTTGAAAACTAGATACTTTAAAAGTCTGCAAAATTACCACAAGGTGGTGATGTAGGCTTTTTATGTTTTATTAAAAGAAATGTTTTCTTTAGACACTTTTTTTTTTTTAGCCCTTATAATGTGGGGATTTTACTTTAAACTAAGGACAAGTGGAGAAAGTGACATTTATATCTGGTGGTTAGAAAAAGCTTTTACATTGTTGGACAGTTTGCAATTTGTTTCTTTGTGAGAGTAATGACAATCATTATATTTGTCTAGTCTTCTATATGACAACAGGACACAAGATTATCCTTTCAAACAGATATAATCTTCACAAATAAGCATGTTTTAATAACAGTGTCAGACATTCTGACTCCAAGCAGTCACTTCAGCCACCTAGTTTTTGACCTCTACACTTGCAAGCAAGTTTGATTACTGAACAGGTTTTATTTTTGGATTGTAATGATTGCCAGTTCTGTTGTGCAAACTGTAAAAGTTCAGGTTAAGTAATTAAATACCTGTATGTGTAATTTATCAGTTAGTCCACTGCATTTTGAAATGTAATGCACAGCATAATTAGTCCAGTACTAAAACAAATATCAAAAAACAAAGATTTACCTTCTGTCCTGTAGCAAATGCATGCACTGTATAAGCATGCTTTGTTTTGAGTGTTATTGTGCATGAGGCTCATTATTAATTCTCTACACACCTCATTTTGTTTTGTCGAACTTGCATCATTTCTAAAAATACACATGCATTTCCTTGCTAGTTCTAATCATTTTGTTATTTTGTGTCTTATAGAAGCCATTTTGTTGTTATTTGCAGTTAGTTTAGGTTAATTCTTAGGTCAGATTTGGCAGTCATTTTATGTCTTTTGTCTCATTTTGTACATATTTGCAATCTTTTTGGCTTATTGGATACATTTGTGTTCCTCCTCACGGTCTTATGTTCCCGTTTTTACACAATTCTTGTAATTTTGTGTGTACTAATCTTTATTAATCATGTTGAATTGAAAAACTTGAAATTCCGAGCTTGTTCTGTGCACTTGAACGCATCAGTGTGTGGTGGTCCGTGTCCGAGCTGTTGTGTCGGACTTCACCGATTTCTGTTCCTTTCCCCAAAGTGAACGTGAGGCCAAACCCTCTCAGTCCGCTGTCCGTGTCCAGAACCACATATGCGGCTGAATAATCCGGGTCTGTGTGCTGCAGTAGGACAGAAGAAGAAGAAGGAACTGAGCAAACCCGGCGGCGCCATGTTTGTTTGTGCAGCCACTTCTTACCATGGCGTCGGAGCCGTGCTGCTTCAAAGACGTCGGAAAACGCACATCCCTCACTGTCAAATTAATTATCTTGTGCAGCATTTTATTTAATTAAAAACTTCGTTAAAAGAAGGGGGGTCCTTCTGAAGTCACGTGCAGAGGACGTTAATCCCTCCTACTTTACATGCCCATTGGTTAAAGTATAACCACACTTAAAGAAACATGTCTGATTTCTACACAAGGAGGAAAACATGTTTTTATTGTACAAATTCCACAGATATTCTCCAAAACCTCCATCCCAAGCTTTTTTTTTTTTTTTTCTACCAACAATCTTATAAAAATTAGCTCTTCTTTAAAGGTCAGTTCTCATGTGTCCAGATAAACATTAAAAACTGTAAACATTTGTCTTAAATGTGGTGTTTGACCCATTTATTCATGAGCCCAAGACTTCAGCAGTGAGTTTTGTATATTTTTATTCCTTTAAAAGTTCTCGTCGGTGAATTCCTTCTTGGTGCTTTTTTGGAAGAAGCTTTGCATCTCATGACGACTTGTCCAAAAGCCTCAAGTTTTTCATCACTCAAAAAACCTTATAAATCCAAACCACACGAAACAACATTCATCTGTAGTGATTATAGTGAGCCGATAGTAACCAGGACAGAAAGAAAAGGCTTTAAATGGAGCTAAAACACAACGTCCATGTGATATGAATAAACGTCATACCATAATAAATTGGTACATATTTAAAATAAAGAGAAGAGTCACTCTCTAAGTCTCACAAAGTGACCTCTAACACATGAAATGTAAAGAAAGTAGTTTAGTTGGGTTTACTTTTGGAATACGTATCACCCTCATATGAGTCATGGAAACAAGCATCAACCTTCTGATACCTACTACTATCAAACTATGACATTTTATGCTAAATTCCCTAAAACTGTGTATGAAAATGACAATTTGGAGGCAAATGAGTAACATTTTCACATTAAACCATATAAAAGGGTCAACTAATCAACATTTTGTCCCCTTTCTGGAGGCTTAATTACATCTTATTTCACAGAAACAGAAGAATATCACGTGTTGTGTTGAAAACATTATCTGCGCCCATAACCAGTCAATTAAAAAAAATAATAATTCCACAGTAACTTTTGGTTGTACCATCAGTGAGCATGAAAACATGAATGAATGCTTAAAAAAACTGGCGTGTGCAAGCAACACAGACTTGTTGTTTGTCTTTAAACAAGTCTCCTCTGGCTATAGGTTTTCTCCAGGTTGGTACTGGGGCTCTGTGGAGGTGAAATAGTCCTCCAGGAAAGACTGCAGGTACTCGAAGGTGGGCCTCTCGTCTGGCTCCTTCTTCCAACAGAGCTTCATCATCTCGTGTAGAGACTCGGGGCATCCCTGAGGGCAAGGCATCCGGTATCCTCTCTCCACCTGCTCCAGCACCTCCCGGTTCACCATACCTGAGGAGGGCGTCAAGAGAGGGTTACTGCGAGGAGGAGGGGACATCCCAGATGGATGCTTGCGTGCTTAAATCTTAAATCTAATTGACCATTTGAAATTTAATTGCTTTTTAAATATTTGTTTTTGTGCAGCTAAATTCAAACTTTAGGATGATGTCTTGCAAATGTAGTATGACATATGCAGGATATATTCATACATTTCGCGAGTTCTTCATTTTTCTGACTGTGTAAATGTCGTGCATTGAGTTTAACAGAAATGTAACGAGAGACGTTATTTATCTTTGACCCATCAAAATGAATGCGGTCATTTATTTGCAGAATCAAAGTTTAACATCAAACATTTACATTAATTTGGCAAAATATGAAAACAATAACATGGCTAGTTTCACAGGAAGTGGGACAATACGGCGATTGTCCTCACTTTTCAGCAGAAACAGCAGACATCAATCACACGGCGGTGATTGAGAACTTTGCTCCAGACATTTCTAAAAATATCTGTGATGATTTTAGGAGAAAGGAGAGTTTAAAGATGAGAATGGAGATTTATCTTACAGAGAGATGTGTGAGGGAATTAATCTGTTTGACCAGAAACGTGCACGCTCCTTCAGTTCTCAGCTTGGTCACGGTACGCTTGGTCGAAGTAGAACTTTTACCTGGTTGATGATATGTCAGCGTCGGTATAGAATCCTTCCTTTGACTCTTTCAGCGTCTCCGTTGAGAACAGCTAAAATACTTCGAGAGTCGTGCGAGGTTATCCAAACAGAAGTTATAATTCCCAAAACCGTCCCTGGATTCTTGATTCCAATAGAAGCATTCTGGACGCCTGCGTTAGCATCCAAGAACTCTGAACTCTTTAACTCTCTTCAGAGAGTTAAAGTCTGGAACTCTTCTCCAGGAAAAACTCTCAAGCTCTGAAAACTCCCATGTTGAACTCATTCTGAGCGCACCAGCTCGAGTTGAACTGGGAAGTTGCCACATTTAAATGGGTCGACTTCCGGTTCATTTGAGAGCTTTTTGATTGGTCGATGGACCAGAAAGAGTTGTGGTTTGTGATGTAAGGTGTTATGAAAAGTCAAGGATTGTTTTAGTGACAGACAGAAAGATTATTGGAGAACTTCAGACTTAGTGGAGTCTCTACTCCTATTATCTGCTGTAAAAGTTAAACATGACATTTCCTTTCAGTAAACTTTTAGTTGACCGAAACTTGAACTTTAACACACACTTACAAAACTTGCTCATTGAAGACAGAAAAATCAAGAAATGCATATTAACCTGATTTCTTCTTAGAATGAGGAATAAAAATCATTACTTACTGTTTATGTAAATAAAAATGAGTAGTTCTCTTCAACCTGTAAACATTGAGTGAACTAACACAATTTGATTATCAAACATTTGTAAAATAGTAATGATCATAGAGAATTGTCATTTCTACTTGATTAATTCAAGAAAGAAAGTCTCAGGATGGGTCAAACTGTATTTCTGGATGCAGATCAATGAAATAACAGTTTCTGTCCATCTGGTCAGATTTGACATCAGATCAAGTTCACTACACAAACAAACACAAGACCTTCACCAAAATCTAGTTTCTTGAGGCCTGGTGACACATTTCACTCGTCTTTTCCCCACAGTCACACATTTAACATTCATTCACTGCATCATCAGAATCAGCCCCAAACCATGACGCAACCTCTGCCGTGTCTGCAGGGCATTCTTTCCCAATTTAGCTTCTGTTAATCACCTATGAATAAAAACATTTCTTTAGCACTGTGGGCTTTTTTCCCTTCTCTTTCTAAATCAAGCTCACAAAAAGATTTATAGGTATTTAAGAAATAGAAAATGTTACTTCTATATTTTGGCACTTTTTGCCTTGTGGTGTCCTTTTGTCTGCAGAGTTGCAGGTTCGTGTCAGTCTAAATGCTCTAAACCATTTTTAGGTGGTGTTTTCTTTGTTAAAAATGATCTAAACTCTTCCATCACTGACTTTGTTCTTACTGTTGTGTCCTGATGAAAGCATCCCATTTTATGACTGAGTCTTTGAAACATTATGAAGTGTTATAACACGTTCAAGCTCTGCTGGTCATCAAACTCTTAAATGAAAAACCATCATTACTTGGAAAGTTTAGGTCACATAACAAAGAGAAGTAACGTTCTCTTGCTAGTTCTACAATTTAGATTAATACAATAGTCCCTCACTATTTCGCGGTTCGACTTTCACAGACTCGCACTTTTGCTGTTTTTCAAATACAATTGAACACGAACAAATGTGTACATGACACATGATTGTCAACTTTAATATTACTCACGTGATTGGGACAGTACAGGATACTGTACAGTAAAAAGTTAACATAAAATAAAATACTGTACTTTGGACAGGTGCTGCCATTTTGTAGTTTTCTCTCAATAAGCTTACACTATATCACCGCTCATTACGACTACATTTCCCAAAAGCCAATAGTGTCCCGCCTAGAAGCCTCTTTGCTCTCTGCTGATATACGTACTAGAGGGAAAGTTTTGATCTGATACGAAAAAGTTTGACACTTATTACAGTGACTTTGGTACCCAGCAGATGCAGAGAGCCGCACTCGAACCAGACCAGAACTACAGCAGAACTGGACCTCCAGACCCATTGGCGAATCCAAGAGCTAGTAGCTGGCCCACAAGGACTTCTGAGCAGGGACGCACTGCCATATGTCCGGCTTCTCTCTGGAGCCCACCTCCACTACCCTGAGTCAGTGAGTCAACCAGAACCAGTAGGTTAGTTCAGCCGAAACGGAACCAAGTCGGAGCAGAACTGAGCCGCTGCTGTTCTGCTGAGCTGGTGAGTAAAATTTAGTAGCTACATATAAGTATGCTGTTAAAATTAGTAGGTTTAAGAGTTTAGACCATTGTGAGCTTCGTCGTTGCAAGGTAGGCCTGTACAGAACTGAGTTGGACCGAAACTGAACGGAACCGAGAGCCACTGCTGTTCTGTCGAGCTGGTAAGTAAAATTTAGCTACATATACTTATGTTGTTAAAATGACGTAGGTTTAAGAGTTTAAAACATTGCAAGAGCGTGGGAAGGGTTTATAAAGCCTTTTTATATATATATATATACATAACAAAATAAATATATTTGTGATGGACTATTTGTGATGGACATGCAACCTGTCCAGGGTGTATCTCACTTCTTGCACAGTGATAGCTGGACATGGGCAACAGTGACCCCCGCAACCCGAAAAGGAAGAAGCGTATCTAAGATAATGGATAGATGGATGGAGAAAATCAATAAAACGTTGCTATGTCGCGAATTTGCACTTAAAGGGGGGTCCAGAACATAACCCCTGGAATAAACAAAGGACTACTGTATAGCTTTTTCCCTAAAAATGCTCCTTTTTGTCCTTTCAGTTTATACTATTTTGTTCATTTTCTGTCTTTGAACTGTAGTGGACTAGGCCCATGTCAAAAACTAAGTCTAAGATCAAAACTCTTGACCTTTAGAACCTTGTGGGACAGGAACTGTCATTT